TCTAGCCCATAGTAAAACACTCAACAATATTAGTTTCTTTTCTCTGCATTCACTTAGTTAACATATAGTTTTTTAAAAATCTGTAAAATCCTACCTGCTTAAAGAGTCATCTTCAGAACTCTCATTCTCTATTAAAGAAAAAGTAAAATACATTTTAAATCAACAATAGAAAAGTACAGAATATTAAAATTATATGACTTTGATGCTTTGTTACAAAGTATTGCTTTGGACCATACCCGAAGACCGTACTGAAATGAATATTAATTATACCACTGGTAGGCAATTAAAGCATTAAAACTCATACTTCCCTTCCTTTGTATTTATCAAAAGCAAGAAAGAAAAATGGAATTTATCAAACTTTGATGCCTACAAGTTAACTGCTCAGTAGAATGACCGTAATCCTTAGTGAACCCTATCAAACTGACAGAAGATGGGATAAGTAGCAGAATCAAAATCATAAGCTGACACTGCCAGACGCCAATAGCATGATTTTTCTGGACTAATAGCATTAAGAGCAGTTAGAAGACAGTACACTTATTTTGTTGTGACACAACACAGTTTCTTCAGCTCTTCAGTTTAGAATGAAACACCCTCTCACAAGGAAGCTAGATCTATGGGAACTGTACTTCACCGCATGGCAAAACACGGGAAACAGACAAGGGACAAGGATCCTTGCAAAGACCTTCCAGCTGCCAATAGAGAAGAGCTTAAAAGAGATCAATGTATTTCCTCTTGGTATCCCTCTTCTGGAGAAGATGCCGGTAAGCTCACTTAGTTCTAGCTATTTTCTCTACCCTATGTTGGCGCAAACAAGGCTCAAATTCACCTACTACTTTACCTCCCCTGGAAAAAAAAAAAAAACACTGGAAACATCACTNTGTAACTCAAAAATGGCAGGCTTGGTTCTTCAGCATGGAAACCACTTATTAGGAAGGCCCCCTTGCTTCCCTTTACCCTAATATTGGAGTGAGCAGGACTGAAGCCATGTTGGGACCTCAAATCACATGGGTTCTAAAAGATTTTTAAAAGATACAGGTTTTTTTCTTGGCATGGATTTCTCTGAGTTCCCTCTTTTCCCATAGTTATTTGACATTCTGGACCTTGGTTATACAGGAAGATGACACTATTTACATGAAGGCAAAGTTGTTTTCCAGCTGGCCTGGAGCTGCAGACTTGCACATATATCCAGACCCTGGGAAACCAAGGAAGATATCAATAAAGCTATACTGATTCCACCCCTCCAGCAGGACCATGAGATACCAGCAAGGACAGCAGCAGAAACGAGCCTTGGTGAGACTGCACCTGGCCTCTTGCATGTCCCCCTCCCTCCTGCTTGTCATTTCCCACATTCCATTCCCTCAGCTCCTCTTTAAAAGCCC